TGTATTCCATACTTCTAGTGATTGGATTTCACCCAAAACTTACCAAATGACTCTTTTGCTTCGATTCAGCTGCATCAAAATGGATTCAGCTGCATCCTCAACTTGTGATACTCGCTAGTGCACGAACCGTTGGTAGTATAGCATATGTAAGTGCGAGGTCGATCCCATGAGGATTGGTGATTGAATGATCCAATTTGTTTCCCCTACACAAAATCGAATTGAAAAAGAAAATAAATAAAACAAGAAAAAAAGGAAATAACTCAAGTAAATATGTTCCCAAGTTCAATTTAGATTAACGGATTGATTCTAGCTAAAGTATGCTTAAGCCATGGTGTTTGGTCATAACCTTGTGTTCCTGATTCCCTAATTTGATCATTTGTTGTCTAACCTAAAATTAAGCATTAGGAACCCATTAAGCATAGAAGAACATTTTAAACAACCAAGTATGTATCTAATCCCTGTTGTCGAATGTCCATACATACTCTTCCTAGTTCAATTCGAATTGAAGCATGGTGTCTACTCTTAATTCAAACCAAGATAGTTAACATGCAAGCCTAAATGGTGATCAATCATTCAAACTAGCATGTTAACTTATAAGCATAATGAATAAGAACAAAAATCATAATTGAAACTTGGAAACTAATTAAACTTGAATACTTAAGAAAGAATGTACATTACAAATAAAAGTAAAGTAGAACTAAGAAAACTTGAGGGAAAATTTAGTAAACTCATTTTGTTACAACAATTGACATTAGAAAGAGAAACTAAGAGAATTTGAGGGAGAGAAGGGAAGGGAGCTCTAGAGAAGTGTTTGAGAGCTCCCCCCCTTGGGTTGTGATTTATTACAACAATTGACAACTTGAAAGGAAACTAAGATAATTTGAGGGAGAGAAGGGAAGGGAGCTCTAGAGAAGTGTTTGAGAGCTCCCCCCCTTGGGGTGTGTTTTGAAGCTTGAAGGCTTCTCTATTTATAGGGCTAAGAGGGAGGAACAACATGATGAAATCCAACACCACCATTCCTCTTTTAATACAACCCATAACTCACACTTCATCTTGTCTATGTTAGTGTTTTGGAATCAATCTCATCCCATAATTCTTTTGCTGCACCTCAAGCTTCTTCACATGGGTTCAAAGGTGATCAGTTGTGGCTGCCTTTGCTGCCAACCCATGTGGTTGCCTTTTGGTTGCCAACCCATGTGGTTGCCTTTTGGTTGCTGAAAAACGAGTTTTCTGAACCAGGCTTGGTGTAGGAAGGCTAGAGGTTTCAAAACGTATCCAATGGGGCTCAAATTTGGATATGTTATACTAGACACCCATTGGAACAACTTCTATGAAGAAAGTATTTCCATCGGACCAGTAGAAGTGTGTGTTTTGGCCCTTGCAAGTTGGCAGCCGAACAGAGACTGGAATTGACTTCATTTCATTTCTTTGCTTTACATGCATGCACATGCTTTCTCTATAATAACTCCAGCATGTACCAACTTGCTCCTTTAGAATTTCATAGCTGGAATGCCTCCCCACTTCACTCATTATGCTGGGTGCAAAGTCAGTTATAGCTGGGGTGAGGCACATGGCTAAAAGGAGGCACATGGAGGCACATGACAAAGCTGGCAGCTGCAAATCCTCCTGAGCAGGGTTCAGTGTTGGATGGGCTAAGGACTCCAGATATGTTCAATTGGGCTGAAATTTGGATATGTTGTAGTAGACACCCATTGGAACAAGTTTCATGAAGATCTTCACCTCATCCGAGCCCCAGAAAATGCTGATCCAAGGCCAAGAAGTTGACCTACGAAACTGGGCTGGAAATGGGCTGTAGCCAAAATTAGTTTGTCTTTAAGCTCTTCTTCCATTCACCCAAATCAGGCCCTATCATGCATGGATTGCATCATTTCCTATCCAAAGCCATCATTGTTACCTAAAACTCAATGAACTGAAAGATAAACACAAGAAAGATTAAAAGCACAAGTTTAACTCAAAAACATAACCAATTCATAAGCTAGAAGGGTACGAAATGATATACAATTATGAACCGATCACGTAACCTTCCACACCACAATCCCTCATGCAAGCCCCGTAACCACATGACTTGGGTTCATGTGAGCTTGATAGGCGATTGACATATGAAAAATGTATTATTGGCTTCGCATGACATGTACACTATTATTTATTTAATGAATTAATTCCCAAAATACAGCTTGGATTAATGCATGACCAAAATTATATGTTATATCGGGCCTTAAACGTCTTTGGGCTTCTTGTGACTTTTTTGGACCTCAACAGGTATTTTGGTAATTTTCACAATAAAAATTTCAAAATTCAAATTTAAATATAAAAAAATACTGAAATTATTTCAAAATGTTTAAAAATTAGGATGTTTAAACCCACCCCCTCCCTTTCCCTTTGTCTTTCTTATCAGGGCGTTTGTTTGTTGTTGTTGTTCTATAATTATACATATTTCTTATTTTGTGGAACAAAAAAAAAAGTATTGACAATGGCAGTGTATTATAAATTTAGGGCTAACAACAAAACGCCCCTGGATGTTTGGGGTCATTCTCAATATGGCCCTGGAGTTTTAATTTCATCAATTTACACCCCATGGTTTTTAGATCTAACCAATTTAAGCTTTCTCTTAAGTTGACCATCTAGTCAGACGTTAACTAATGACGTGTCCTCTGCATGCCCAATCCCTAAAAATTAAAAAAATATTTCATCAATAATATAAAATAACATAAAAATAAATTTAAAACTTTTGTTTTTTTCAAAAAACCTACCCAGTCGTGGCGGCACGTCCATTTATGAAAATCATCAATCTCGGTCCGAGCCCAGGGCCCTAGCCCATATGGAGAGCGGTTGGATCATCAAATTAGAGTTTCCTTTTTTGCCCTCGATTGGGTCATCTCCAATCCTTTATTGTCTTTTGGCCGACATGACAATTCTCCTCCTCTCGACAAAGCCGTTGAGGTTTCCCGTTGATCATTCTGCTCTCTGCTTCCCAATGAGTTGCTTTCTTCTGGGTTTTCAATTTTGGGCATCTGGGTAGGTTTATTTTTAAAAGTTTTATTTATTTTGTTTTTATGTTATTTTATATTTCATATACATTTTTTTATTTTTAAGGATTGGGCGTGGGGTGGGTCCCACAGTTGATACATCATCAATTAACGTTTGACCAAACAATCAACTTAACAAAAGGCTTAAATTAGTCCAATTTGAAAATCATAGTGTGTAAATTGAAGAAATTGAAACCCATCAACCCATATTGAGAATGATCCCAAAAATCTAGGGGTGGGCATTATTACCGAAAACCCGACCAAACCGCCCGAATCGGACCGCTTTAGGTATTTTGGTTCAATTTTTATAGTTAAAAATCCAAGAATTTTTCCCCTTCCCTCTGCCCTGCCTCTCTTCTTCTTCGAGTCTCTCAGATCTGCAGCCTGCGCCTCTCACTCAACCTCCTCTCCCCAAACCAAATTCGTCGGCTCTCTCACTCGCTCTCTCTAAGTCACTCAATCTCTCTCTCAACCGCTCTCGCTCGCCTCTGCCTCTCTCAGTCTCTCGTCTCTGCCTCTGTTCGTTCTTCCTCTCAGTCACTCTCTCTCAGTCACTCATTCTCTCTCTCATCGGCTCTCTCTTAGTCACTCTAGAATTAACTTAGCCTCTCTCTCTCTCTCTCTGCCGCTTTCTCGGGTACTATCTCTAAGTCTCTTAGTCCTTTTACTTTGTCAATCAAGAATTCTAAATAGTTCTAATAAAAGCCCAGATCTGGAGGTTCTAGGTATTGTTTTTAACTTTTTCCAATTTAATCTTTTAAGTGCGATTTGGGCATGATTTGTAGGTATTCGTTTAAAATTTTCTTATAAATTTCTTCTTTATATTTGTATTACCCCGGATCTGAAGGAAGACAGACTTCTTCTCTGTAAGTCTTTTTTGTTTCTTGTGTTTTTGTGGATCTTGTTAATAATGACTTAGTTGCTTGGCTAAACGCTTATGTTTGTTAGCAAGTCGTTTGGATCTATGCCGTTTATTGTTGATAGCAAGTGGTTTTGGTCTACAATTGTTTCTTCTTTTCTTCATTTAATCCTTTGCACTTTAGTTATCTTCCCATTTTTAGTGACTAATCTTCTGATAGGTTTGTTTGTATAGGTTAATGTTTTGATTTCAACTCAGTTTCCAAAGCAACAGCCAGAGTTGATGCTTCAAAGTTCGCAGGCAATGATATTTCCAAATACCTACATTAATAAAAAAAAATTAGCTTCTTTATGTCATATTAATTCATATATTAATTTTTTTTTCTTTGTGCAGAGGTGCTAATTTGATTTGGGGAGTATGAACTCATGGAATTTTGATTTCTATATGTAATGGAAATTTACTTGTTTTGATTTGGATTTTCTTTTTAACTTTGTAAATATGCAGATTGTGATTGAGATTACTCTCACAATCTTCTATGGTCTGTAATAATGATTTCTGTGAATTTGGACATGTTAGGTGGATGATGATTTTCTTAGGTTTTCAAGTTTTTTTTTATTTGAATGATGATAAACTGTAAAATATGCAAAACTACAGAAATTGAAAAAATCATACAGAAACCCTAAAACTTTAAAGGGCCTGGAAATCTGAACAAAAAAAAAAGAATGGGCCTGGAATACTTTATGGGCCTCGGTAGACATATGAACCGAACCAACCCGACCTATTAAATTTGGGTTTCGAGTTAACTCAAAATTGGGCCTGAAAGACAAGTGTGCGGTTCACTATTTGGTCCTGCCAACATGATCCGATTCGGCGTACGATTTAGGCCCATAACCGACCCAACCCGACCCGTGAACACCCCTACAAAAATCTAAGGGGTGCTTTGTCGTAAGCCCATAAATTTAAGAATGCAAAATATTATGATTCAATTGGTATGGATGGCCCTTTCATCTTAATTGGTATTCTGAAAGAGAGAATATTTGAATTCAAGCACTTAGGGAGAAATTGGTTGAGGGAAAGAAGAGAGAAAGAATGAGGAGAGAGAGAGAGAGAAGTGAGAAGATAGAGGAGATATCATTTTAGTTTTTTTTAGTGAAATTGGGTAAAATAGCCTTTTTCACAACTTTTATTCTAAAATAGTCCCTCTTGCATTAAAGAGACACTATATGGATGACAAAGAGACACTGTATTGGGGAAGGGCTATTATAGAAATAAAAGTTGTGAAAATGGGCTATTTTAGCACAAACCCATATTTTTTATTTAATCTGAATTTCAAAATTTTTAATAATGAAAATTACCAAATACCAATGCCACATCAGCAAGTTAATAGTTTTTCTGATCATATTAATGGAATGAGATAACATGGCTCACAAACAAAAGTTCAGGGGGTCATGTGGCCATTTTAAAGTTTAGGGGGCAAACTGAGATAAGTTGCAAAGCATGGGAGGCATTTCAAAGAAATAAGCCAAGTTTTTATAAAGCTGACATTTCTGAAAGTACAAAGTAAATTTTGAGGATTTTGTATAAAAACTCATTTTCGCATTTCCATTGATGAGGGACTGAGGGTACCTTCTCCAAGAAAAAAATCGGAACTTCCCCAAGAACCCACCAAAGAGCGCTTTCATAAAAATATCAAAAATGCAGAGGCTCGTTTCTTTGAAACTGGCCTCAAACTTCCCCAAAAAGCTCTCAAACTCCTCCACCACCACCACCACTACTACCTCTTCAATCTTCCACTTTCAACCACACAAAACGGTTTCTCTCACCAAACCATCCCAAACCCTAACCCAAAACTACTTCTTTAGCTCCTTCCCCGCACACTGGCTTCACCGTCTTCCTCACTCATGGAGGTTGCAGCACACTCTCACACAAAAGATTCATGGGTTGGTCTCCAACCCATTACTCAAACGGCAGTTTTTGGTGGGTTTCTCAAATACCCTTTTGAGAGCCGCAAGCAAGAGTCTTTCAGATTTCAGGCTTGGCTTTCTCAGAGTCCAATTTTCCAGACAGAGTTCTAAGTTCAAGTTGAACCCAAAGTTTACTTCTCAGAGTGTCGGGTAATGGTTTTGTTTTCTGTTCATTGTCGAAGTTATCTGTTAGGTTAAGAAATGAAGGAAAAGTTTAATCTGTTTTTTTTTCTTTTCCTTTCATTATTGTGGAATTCCTGGTTCCAATGTTTGAAATTTCCTTTTGGCGTATCTGCAAAGTTGATTTTGATTTGTCCAATTGTGATTGGTTGAGACAGAAAAGGACAACACGTATCCAATTGTGATTGGCTGGCCGTACATATATTTCTATTTACGTGCCCATTGCTTGCTTTTCTTCTTCGCAAAAGCTCTTGCCATTTTATTTTGCAAACTTCTTCTGCAGTCTGTTATTACAATAACATTTAAAGAATGACTTTTGTTAATTGTTATTTAGGAAATGGAGCGTATGTGAAAAATGACCTTTAGACTATCGCTTGTAGTAAATTGTCTTTATATTATTTGGGTTTACAACATGTAATAAAGGTTTATTTAGGAAATGGAGAGATGTTACTTTTTTCTTTTTCTTTTTGTCGTTAGAAGAGATTTTACGTTACTTGAGGACATGTGCTCATTTTCTCCACTATGAATTAAGTAGTCATTTGAAAATTAGTCGTCTTATTATTGAAGGAAAACATATGGACAAGATAAAGTATTAATTCTGTCTCTTGATTAAAAAAGCAGAAAACCCAGGATCCACTTTGAATTCCTATCCTATGCACCCCAAGTTTCCGGTCTCAATGTATGCAAGTTAATTATTTTCTGTCAGTAAAACCTAGTTTCCTCCTCTTTGCAGGAGATCATGTCTCCGAAGGGTATCAGAGGGTGTGGTTACTGACGTGGTTTTGGGATTGATTATAGCTTCATGGTGAAGATTGCAGATACTAGCTTCATGGTGAAGAATTTTATTGTGAGTCCCTCAGTTTTGAATTGGCTAAGTGTTGTCAACTTGTCTTCAATGAAGCAGAATGTCGACTTGCTGTTTTTTTCGTTTTTCACTGATCAATTTCCTAACTTGTTGATTTTCTCTAACCAGAATACATTATACAATGTTAGAACTGGACGTCTTCACACATTGATAACTTCTGCCTTCAGTCATGTCGGCACTGATCATTTCATTCATAACATGATTGGACTATGTGTTTTTGGGGCGCATGTAAGCTGATTTTCTCAGAAGCTTTTTCTTTTTCTAATAATATTCTTTTGGTACTGTGAGGTATTAAATTTTATTTTGACATATCTTTTAGTTGGACAATATATATTGAATTTGATCTCTTCCATGATTTTATATGAAGTCGTATATATATTCAATCAGTTTTTATTATATCTTCCTCTATTTTTTGGTGCACTGACCAAATTGAAAGAATTTTTGGGCCTCAATTTTTGCTGGGATTGTATCTAGCTGGGGCTCTTGGTGGCTCGGTCTTTTTCTTGTTGCACGCAACCTACCTGGCTGTGTCATCGATGGTAAAATGATACTCAGCTTATGTTCAAGGATAATCTACTGCGAATATATATACGTCTCTTGAGTATTTTTCATCATAATCTACTGTTTGCAGGGCCGGCGAGAGGAGAACAAAGACACAAAGCTGGGACTGGTATGATTTCAGAAACTCTTTACATGTTGTGGTCCTTGCTCAGGGCCGGCCCTGGGGTGGTGCAAGTGGCGTCACCACACACCTCCCCTGATTTTTGAGACTGTTTTATAATGCCAGATTAGCTCGTTTTTATTTATTTATAAAAACGTGCCATGCATAATGCTAAGTTAATAAATAGGTGTAAGAAATTCACACATGGACACGAAAGCTTCATTTTTTTCATGGATTGTTTGACTAAAAGTTGACAAGCAAGCTTGCTTAGTTTAGTTGTTATATTCTGGAAGGAAAAGTTGTTAAACTTTAATTCATTTCACTATAGCTTCTGTTTGTGGTATGTAGGGCGCAGGCGGGGCCGTTCATGCTATCATTTTGCTTGACATATTCCTCTTCCCGACTCGGGGGTTGTTCCTGGTAAGTTTGCTTCTATATGTCGGGTTGAATGGTTAAGGCTATTAAGCAAATCCTTGAAAACTTACCTCTCTTTGTTCCATTTTAGGGGATCTTTCTAATTGGGAAAGATATCTGGAGGATAATACTGGTATGTTGGTTATCTTCCTGTTTTCCCACATTTCTTTGTGTCTGTGTTCATTCATGGTTCATGTGTGGTTTTTACACTGGCCTTGAAACTGGAAAAGGCACACAAGCTCGGCCCATAGGGCGTGCTGTGCGACCGCACAAAGCCTCCATAAAAATGGGGCCTCATATTAAACCTTTTAGCCCAACAATTACAGAAGCAAGGCCTTTCTGGTGTGGGATTAATGTCTTTTGAGTTTTTCCCTAAAGTTTGGTTTTCAACCAATCAATGATTTTAGAGTCAGACCTTGTTTATTGTGCTTGCTTTTATTTTCTACACGTATTATCCTTCAAGTGAGGTGACCTAGAGTTGGAACCCTGTGCCAGGCAGAGGACAAAACTGTCTCATTCTTCTAACTTAATTATTTTGAACTCTAGAACTGTCTTCCTGACGCCATCAAACCAATCTCATTGTGATTTTCTAGTAAATTTAGTGGTAACATTATTTTGTTATTGTAGGGAGACGAACAAATCTCAGGGGCTACACAATTGGGAGGTGCTGCAGTTGCAGCCTTGGCCTGGTCACAACTTCGAAAGGGGCGATTCTGAATTTCGTAATGGCGGATTACATACAGAACACTTTAAAACTAAGATGGTCCCGTTCCCCAAATATTGCTTGTATTTTATTTTATTTTTAAAGATAGTCGAGCATGGTAACTATTAGTCAGTGCGTTGCAGCTATTTTTCTCCTGATTTAAACTCCCAGATCATCCCTTATCTCGGACCCCCGTTTACATTGGATGCCCACCTCAAATTTTCACAGCTGTTTGTTGTTCTGATCAAACAATATTACAGAAGTGAAAAATATTTATAAAGTTCAGAACTTTTAAACAAAATTTGAGGCCCAAATCCATTTCTATGGGCCCATATACGTGTGGACCGGAACCCATTCTGCTGAGAAATTGCTTGCTACAAACAAATCCATCCAATACAATTCACAAGGACAGGGCAAATAGAAAGTTAGAAACAAGAAAATGGGGAGTCTGGGATCAAGTGGAGCAACTTGTGCGTGATAAAAGGTCAAGGTATATATTTTGTGTTGAAGTCTGGTCTCTGTCTTGTAGTCATTGTTTGTTTTGAGGCACCATGACAGCAGATACAGCTCTAGACGATAGAGATAGGTGAAGAAAGAAAATGGGATCGAAAGAAAGGAAATTATCACTTTTCAATTTCCATATGAATTGCTTTCATCTTAAATTTCACTATCATAGAGGAAAATAAAGAGTGGTGGTGATTTCCCCACTCCAATTTTATCCACTTACACTCCATTTTATAACTAAAAAAGGAGTGTAAGTGGATAAAATTGGAGTGGGGAAATCATTACCCATAAATTGATAAGGATATCTATCAACTAAGGTATTTATGTCTAAATAATATAAGTACCATTTATCCCCTTATATTTATATACTTTTTTATAAAAAAAAAATTAGTTTGTACTTACTTGCCTAGCTACTAATAAAGCAAGGGCGAAATCACTGTTAGACTAGGGTGGGCTACAGCCTAGTGCAATTTTTTGATAAAATGAAAACTTAGTGTTAGTTTTTATTCACCCCACTCATTAGAGCAAGTGCAGCGGTGCGCCAAAGCCTGGGGCTAGGGGGGGTTCAAGAAGAAAAAGGTGTTCCAGCGAGCTTTGTTTGCCCAGGCTGAGTGTGGGCTCCACAAGCCTGGGCTGGCCCTCAGGCAAAATCAGCCCCGGTGCTAGCCAGGGTTTGCTGATGTCAGCAACCAAAAAAATCTAAAAAAAAATCTAAAAACATACTAAAAATTTCAGAATTATTTTTAAATAAATACTTAGTCATATTTTTTACTTCCCACATAAAAAATCTATACAAATTCCTCTCTTCATATTTTATGTGAATAGTAGTTGCCATGACAACAGGTGGAAACACACATTTCTTTTTGCAAGGGCAACTACTATTCACGTGAACAGTGGCTACCCTAGCTCCCCCTTTGCCATGGCAAAGGGCAAATGGGTGGAGTTGCTCTTAGAAATTTGCCGCCCTACCCCAGAAAAAATTGACCTACTCCATCTGAAAAGCTCTCAAGAAAATGTATTGAGCCGCCTACACATAACAAAGGAAAAAGTAAATTTATAGCCGACTCGTTTGAAATTTTTTAGATCCGCCTTGGCTAGAGTACTAATGGGTAGATTTGAGCTTGAAATTCTTCTACGATACTAAGTTGAAGGAAATTGAATACAAATTATAACGTTAACCTACTGAATTTATAAACTTGAAATTTCTGTGCACATATTGTTCTTGTTTGGTTTTTTTTTTTTTTTCCAGAACTTGTGTTTAACTCAACTGTTCCTTGATTATGACTCTTATAACCTTTCAACCCGAAAAGAGAGACTTGTGCCAAAAGGTCCGGTGTACCATAAATTAATGTTGGAAAACCAGATAAACCCAATTCATGGTTGTGGGTCTTGACACTGATGCCCTTCTTACACCACTTGCTAAGTCCTAGTCATCGTTAAAGAAAGTATAATTTTACGGACCCACCAATAGCATGATTGGTATGACCACAAGCTCTCAAATCCTTTAGATGTTAATGGGAAATCTTTTTTCATTTTGTTTTTTTTCCTCTTTTGAGGACAAGCTCTCAATATTTTCGATGGAAGTTTTATCATCGCATATGTTATGAATATGTTTTCTCAATATTAAGCCTGAAAGTTATCACTATTGGTCGTAATTTGTCGAATTTTATACTTCAATTTTTGTAGTTTTCGTTTTAATTATTTGACTTATATAGTTTGATATTCATCGCAATTTAAAGAGACGCCCAAATTCCGATCCAATCAATGTGAGAGATACGTGATTATCCAATCACAAAATTGTATGGATCATAAATTACTAGAATTGAAACCACAGATGAAACCGAAAGTAGATGTATGTAGCCATATGCGAATTTAGAATTAGGTCGATTGCAACTATGGTTGATGGTCTTGCAATTGCTGGCTTGAGAGCAAATAAAATGCTTTTTGTTGCAAACCTTAGCCATGTTCTAAAATTAATGTGATATATACATATATCTTAGAGACAGCTAAGGTTTGTCTTTTTTCTCTGCGTGTCTCTAGAAACTGGAAAGGCAGTGTCATTGTGTAAGTGGGTCACCGTTTAATTGCTTTCTTGCCATGCGCAATCAATTCATATCCATGTACAACAACACCCACATTGATGCCGATTGTGACAACATCAACATGTGAGTTGTGGAATCTTATATACCATTCAATAAACAAGATTCTTCAATGTCAAAAGAAATTTGTAGTCGTCCATGTAGTTTCATATGGTTTTCAATTAATTTCCTGCCTCTAATTTAAAAGCACACCCATCTAATTTACATTGCCCAAAATCTTAACTGTTGTGTTAATAAAATCGAGGCCTTTTTGTCATCAGCAAGGTTATTTTGGTCATTTTGTGCCTTGTTATTTTAGACCCGTAATCATTCATTTCGTTGTCTTGCAATAGTTGTGTTTTGTGTTTTGCATCTTGATATTGTTGGTAAAAGAATTTGTGTTCCTCTCTAGATCTGTCTCTGTATCTTGTATTTGGCCTTCTTATTATGAGGGTTTGCTCAAAAGCATCTCCTAACTTGGCTCTTTCAGCACTGCCATATAATGTAATCTAGTATGATTGGACGTTTTTAACTACACATAGGTACGATGTTGTAAACCCTAATAAACTGCATGCAGTAAAATTATCTTTTGGCATTTTTTTTCTCCTTCTAAACTTGAAATTATGATCCATCTCACTTGAGGCAAGTTCGGGCAAACAATTCAGATTTTCATTGTAATTTTTGTTTTTTTCTAGTAGATTTTCATTGTAAAGCATGTCAAATGACCAATCGAACCAAGAGCTTGTAGCTCAGCATCCGAGGTCTTGTTTGTTCGAATCCCTCCTCCCCTAGTATCACTCATGTCAAAATTGACCAATCGATTACAGCAAAGTTACACTCCTCGTAAATATGCTCCATTAATTTTGATACTAATATATATAGAAACCAGAAGAACTGAAATTACATCACATTTTTGTCTAGCTAGCTTCTGATCTCTGTGTTCTGTGGAGTTGGGTAATAAAAAAGCTCTCTAACTCATCAAAATAACCATTTGGAAGTTGCTGCTGATGGTCCATAACTGGGGAATCAAGTTGATCAACTTTTGCGGCTATACTCTTTTACCTTTTAACTCTTTCCTTCTAGTGTAATTTGTTTTTCTTTGAAGAACTGAAACGTTTTTGGCATTTCTGAAGAACCATTAATATATAGCCTTGTAGCCTTTGGAGCTAGGGTTCAATCTGTAAAGGATACTTCACTGTCTTTAGGGTTTCTAGCTATAACCAACTGCAACTCATCAGAAAAATTCAAAAGGAAGAGAAAAAGAAGCAGTTTTAGAGCATATATAAATGCCAGTAAGCCTTTCATAAAGGGAAAGTAACTGCCTATAGCTCTGTAAATTTTTTTCTTATAAATTTTTTTCTTGTTTTTGGTTATAGCTTCCGCAGGCTGCAGTAAATTTAGAGTGCAAGTAAACGTGGGCTAAAAATGAAAGCTGTGTGGTTGCCATAGAAGAGAGGCAAAAAAAACTTTGCAGATTCTGCCATCTCATAAATAATTAATTGCATTCCGACAATATATTTGCTCTCTTTCTTCTAGCTCTCATTCAGAGACACACAGAGAGACACAGAGAGATACAGAATATAACAGTGGGACATTTAAACCATCTCGGATCACGAGCCTGATTTGTGGCTTTCACTTTTTCAACAGATGATATATAGAAGAGGAAGGGTGATGTGAATTAATCATCTGCTTCTTTTCTCTGCCATTGTCCTTTTCTAGGACTGCTCCACCTCATTGCTATAAATGACAGGGTTATTTATTTACTTGGTTTTTTAGATTTATTGCTGGAGAAAACTATATATATATATATATATTCAAATTTTGGGAATATTTGAGACAAAATGCATCATTATTAGTTCAACAACTCTTTGTGTTGATGCAAGTTTTGTTGGAATATGAGCCCTCATTAACAACTTTGGTTGAGTGAGAAGGCTTATTAATGGGGGAAAGTGCTTACAAAAGCAAGGAGGAGAGACTTTTGGTTGAATTGGAAGAATCCATGATGATAATCTGCGCTTGGGGTTTGTGACATAGAGGAGCCCCTACAAATTGGGTGTCTCGTCTTTAGGAAAAAGAAACCTTTCAAGCCAAGAGCCCCTACAAATTGGGTGTGAGTTCCTAGCTCCCACACCACAACTGCTCAAGCCGAACTTAATCCTAATTCACTAAAGCAAGCATCCCCCGCAATTGATACCTAAATGAGTCAATGATCTCCAGCTCCCTAAGGTCTTCATATCATTTTGGAGTTTTTGGGCCTAGTTCCGGAAAATCAAAAAAGGGAAACTGAAAAATCATAAAAGGGGTACCGGAACTCTTTACTGTCCATCGAGCCAACTTGAACTCTCAACTAAAAATCACCTACCATAATTAATGAAATTATGAACTCATATCAAAACTTAAAATAGAATACCCCTCTGCAGCCCATTCTACTGACATGGGCTTAATCAAGTTGGCTAGAGCGGATGTGCTCCCCACTCTGCACCGGAGTTCGAATCTCCCTCCCTATAGTTTCGATTAGATTAACGTAGAATATCACTTATATAAAAAATAATAATAATAATAAATAAAGTTAGAGTTTTAATTAAATTCAAACTCATCCTGACTTTATTGTAACGACCGACTCGAATTTTCATTTATTTAGTTGAATTCTTGTGTGCTCTGCTTTGATCATTACGCCCTTTTAGTAACAGAATTATTGAAATATAGTGGCTCTCGTATTTAGAGGCTAGTGGTGGAATTTTACTTTGATCCATGACACAAGGCTCAAGTTCACGAGAGCGTGGCTCAAACGGAAATTAAATTGAAAAATTATGTCTCCTTGGAGTTGAGGGGCGTTTTTAAGAGAATTCCATTGTTAAGCTCAATAAGAAAATGTCAAATATGCCCCCTTATTCTCCTTAACGGATTTAAATAATAGATTGAATAGTTATATGGCTACTATTGCAATTCTCAAATCTCACTTTCTGATTGGTTCATACTTCTACGCTCCCTTTTTTTTGTAAAGAGAAGTGCCATTAAACTGAGAGCTATTTAGCTATTCGGTATCATGTAACGAACTTAAAATGTCCAAAATGCCACAAACTAATATCACCTCGAAGAGTGTATCTATGATTGTAATAGTCGACGTAATGCTTAATTGTTTTTGCCATGGAAATCAAATCAAGATTAAGTTGGTAAGATATTGCGGCCACTATAAAGTTATACACGAGAAAAAAGTCTTAGATTGCAATATTGAAATTTTGGAAGTTAATTAATTTTAAGTTGAAATCTCCAACTGCAACAAGGTATTAGGCACACAATCATCCACCTCTAAAGCTACGTTGTTCTACGTTACCTACTCTAATATATTCATATTTTCCGCTAACCTAAACCTAGGAAGGAGGGCAAATTACTGCAGCTAAAGTTTGGTTAATTATTAGTAGCTATCATCAATTAAACATGAGGGTAGTACTTCTTTTTAAAACAAAACAAAATTAAAAAAACAGATAGGAGACGGGAGATACGAACTTGAGATCTCTTTCAAAACTGAAAAGAGAGGTACCACTAGACCAATGACTCTCTGGTGCTATACTCATTGAGATTCAATTGAATGCTCATACGTACCCAAAGGAAAAAAAATTGAATTGAATGCTCCGCCCACTTTTTGTAAAACAAAGACTAGTTTAAATTGGGAAAGCTGCTACCTAAATTCCGAGCTTGTAGTTTTCATATGATATATAGCAAGTAGGATAGGGCTTAACGCTACCTTAGTCGAAATAATGTAATTGTAGTCGACATTTAGTTGGCAAGCTGATTTATGAGCATCTCAAAAACCTTATAGGCAGTATCTGAAGTCTTAGGTTCGATTTCATTCGCTTAATATTACTTTTATAAAATAAAATATAAAAACCCTTGTAGGCAGGCATGTAACATATCGCAATTATATCGTCCAATCGTTTCTTCCTTCTTGCTGTATATTGTACAGTCTTTCTTCTTTTCTTGAGACACTTCTCTTTAGAATTGATGGTGGTGATAGGCTTTGAGGTCATGATTTCTAATACCTTATCCAACCTTTTGTTGTGTCAATTATGTCATGCTTGCACTTTATGCATATGATTCTCGGTTTATATTCTTGAACGAACAGACTATATACTTCTAAAAAGACTTTGTAGCTTGCATTGCATGGTTACAACTTTTCCAACTTGAGGAAGAGAAAAGAAATACAATTTGGCAATTTCATTCTATACCCACTCTCCCTTTATTACCCACTTGCCCGTCAATGGAAATTAATGGCTGCACATAGAATCTAAACCTTTATATACTCCATATTTTGTAGCTATACAAATTTTATTTTATTTTTAAAAAAAAATCATGTTCATTGGTCCACGTGTTGGAAGCAAATGACATGGGCGGCCAATATCCATTTTGGTACAAGGACAAGGCCCGTCATATATGGTGTGCTTGAGAAAAGATGGAGAAAGCCCCTATGAAAATGAATTCTAGACATCTTCTTGATAGAGCCTTTTACATCAATAATATTCCTAAGTTTTAAATTAAAAATAGAAAATAGAAAGAAAATTGGAGAATGTATGGTGCACATTGCTGCTGCTTCTTTAGAGGCAATGTTGCACTGCAGACTTAATAAAGGCTACAAGCCTAGAAGTCACACCCTCATATGCCAACCATGTACTCTTTCTCGATCTTGTGCATCATCACATTAAAGAAAGGCATCTCTTCTTGCCTCTTGCCCACATAAATCTACATATATATCTCGAACCCTAAAATAAATGTACCTGCAAGTTGATAGATTTACAATTAAACCATCTCATCAATTAAAGCTATACTACGTACGATGATTTGATTAGAAAATTAAAATTAGAATTTCTTAGAGAGAAAGTATGTGTAAATACCACTAATCTAACCACCTGATCAAGGGCGGAGCCACTCTTAGACTAGGATGGGCTCTAACCCCGTCCAAGTTTTTGTAGACGTATAACAATTTGGTGCCGCGTACTTTTTAGAAAATTTAGCCTACCAAGTGGAAATTAGCCCAACTGTTAATTTTTGCTTTAAAAATAGGTGGTAATACCAAAGTTTTTCTCTAAATTTATTATGAAACTTGGTAAAACCAAAGTTTTTCTCTAGTTGTATATGTCTCTTATTCGTCTCCCATCTTTTTCCCCTTTCTTGAGTCCCTAATTTATTTATTTTTTGAACACAAGGAGAGGAGAGAGAAGGAAAACTTGCTGCCCTTTGTTCCCTTTTGCATAAAAACAAACACGGCAGTGACTAAGCTTGCCAAGTAAGCTCCTGTCCTTTGTAGCCATGTGACAAACCCTGGATCGAACAGATTGTGGGAGTACAAAATGCATAAAAAGGAGCTGATCAGAAAAGTGTAGTTGAAGGGAGCACGTTTGTCGTTTATTTTAGTGAAACCATACATATCTTTGTGGTGGAACTATGAGCATAAATAAATATAAATAAAGAGAGAGTAAAGGAACCATAAAAGCTGTTAGATATCATTATCAACGCCTTCAAAAGGAGTGTGTGAAGGAGGTAGCCATCGACAGTCGCCTCTCTATGAACCATGCACTCTAATCATAGCTGATTAACCCTAAACTCTTTTAATAACATATGCTTAAAAAGTTACTCTATCTTATAAAAGTTTGAGAGAGGCCAACGAGATCTAATTCAGTGGCAAATGCCTTGACTTGAAGACCAATTGGCTTAGATTCGAACCCCATGACACATTGACAGTGCGTGAGTGAGAAAATATCCTCCCCAAATATCGCTTTGCTTTTATAAGATAGAGTTAAGAGTAGAAGGAGTTGGGCTAGAGTTAGACATTGACTTGTTGAGTTTTGGTTGGGACCTGGTTTGATATATATGTGGGTTGTGGGGTTGAGATGACCCAAGATTTTAATCTCCTCTAGCTCCCTGACCAAACTCTGCCACCCTTAACAGATTTATTTACAGCTCTCATGGTCATAGGCCAAGGTAGGAGTTTTCTTTCACATCTCTACATCTCCAAACCTCATTCACTGATTTCTCCTAAGCCCTCCTTCAAACCATTCCAGTTTTCTTTTGCAAAATCCCAAAGTTCTTCTGGGAGTCTCTTCCCTTTTTCTTGGTGGAATATATATATACACCCAATACAATTACAACCCACTTCTGTTGTTAATTGATTCCTTTTTTTTAATCTTTAATACAGTAGTTTTGTGCCCGCATAGAAAAACCCACCAACCTAGTCTGCATGCTCTTACTCTTTTCATGGAGATGATATGGACCAATAAGTTTACCTTATCTGTAAATTTGTAGAAACAAAACAGGAGTCAAATTTCTGGGTCTGTACTGGTGAGACTGGCTTTTTTGTATTTTGAATGAGGGTTGTGGAATTTTTTCTTGTAGGGTTTATTGGGGTTAGGAATCTGGAGATTGCAATGGCAGAGTTTTTGGGATTAGCAGCAGCAGCAACAGGAGTATCAGAATTGTGACAGCTTGCAAAGGAAGAGCTACAAGCAACCCCAACAACAGCAGTAGATAAGAGTGAAAGCAAGCAAAAGCAAAAGCAAAAGAAATCAACCATTTTTGAAGCCCAAAATCAGAGAAAAAAGATTAGGAATCTGGATTTCCAAGAGAATCAGCAATATCTCCAACTTCTCCAAAACCAGCATCAAACACATGGGGAGCTCATAAATTCTCACCCAGCACAAACACAAGTAGCTCCCAACACCAACAACAACCAAATTCTAGACCACCAAAGCATTCAACAAGAATATGCAAAGCAAAGAGGAGGAGAGAGAATGGGAATGAAGAGCGCTGGAGGAGGAGCAGGAGGAGAGATTATACAAGTTCAAGGAGGCCACATTGTTCGATCCACCGGCCGCAAAGACCGCCACAGCAAGGTATACACAGCCAAAGGCCCCCGAGACCGCCGCGTCCGGCTGTCTGCCCACACCGCCATCCAATTCTACGATGTTCAAGACCGCCTCGGCTACGACCGCCCCAGCAAAGCGGTTGACTGGCTCATCAAGAAAGCAAAATCCTCCATTGACAGGCTTGCTGAGCTTCCACCTTGGCACCCTATCACTGGTGTTGCAGCAAACAATGCTGACCCCAATCAATCCAATCCAAATGAAATGGTGATTGCAGGAGGAACAGAGGAAACAGAGTCCTGTGGCTACAATTTCCACCAGCTGCAGAGGCAAATGAGTGAGAATAACAACAACAACAACCAAGCAAATAATGTTTCAAGCTTCAACATTCCTCCATCTCTAGACTCAGACACCATAGCTGACACCATGAAATCATTCTTCCCCACAAGCTCAGCAGCCACTTCATCCATCAATTTCCAAAGCTACCCACCTGATCATGATCTGATTTCAAGAACCACCAACCTAAACCCTAGCCAAGACCTTGGCCTCTCTCTCCACTCTTTCCAAGACCAAGGCCTAAACATCCATCACACTCACAGCCAGCAATCCCAAGGAGACACCAACCACAACAACGATCAGATTCAGACCCTTTTTGCCGCGGGGGCGGGAGGATCAACGGTGGGATTTGATACAAGTTATCAGAGAATGGTGGCATGGAGCAATCAGAACAGAGGAGTTGATGGTGGATTTGTATTCAACTCACACACACAAGCATTGCCACAGCAAGCATACGCTCATGCTCAGGGGGGTACCCTTCAGTCCAGTTTTTCGCCATCAGTTTCAGCTCGGGCCTGGAACGATTCTTCTATCTTCGGCACACAGCAGAGAACACAGCAGCAGCAGCCAATGATTCACCATTCTTCAATCTTTGGCACCCGCTTCGCCTCTGATGGCGGCTTGCCTGTGTTCTGCATCCCCACGCGTATTGACGCTGAGGAGGGGGATAATGGCGGTGTTTCAGATCGACCATCATCCACTTCCTCTCCCAATTCCACCCACCATTGATTGGATAACTAGTATGTACTCCATATCCCATTGTTCAATTTTTTTTTTTAAAATTTTTTATTCAAGAACAGTATTCACGAGATTCAAACACACGACCTCCTTTATCAGAATGGAGAAATATTGCTTGCTCAAATATTGTTTCCATGGAAAGTGTAAAGGTTCTTCAAGATTGATTGGGAAATTAGTTTCTGTTTGCTTTATTGTACACCGTTTTTGTTCTTTTTTTAATTTTTATTTGTCAAAGACAACAGTTTAAATTTTTTGGTTTCCTTGGTGTGAATTTTGCAGATTCTACCTTCGGGGTATCAAATTGGGAGACAAGAAGGAAGATTCAGTCCAATTAAATGGTCTACCAAGGAAAGAAAAGTATCTGGTTTGGATTTTCAAACATTCTTTTCATCTTTGTTGATCTATATATTTAATTAGATTCCCTAGTTGTTTTTAAATTTGATGGGACTTTTTTTTGTTTATTCAAGTGGCTCAACTTTGTTTTCTTTATTACTACTTATCATTTTTATCCTTATGAAACCCCACATTTCCTTTTTCTTTAATTTGGTTGAACTAGTATTATAACAGCAAGTTGGCTCATTCTTGGTAATTCCCACATTAAGAGAAGCACAAGTTAGTCAATGGCTTTGCTTCAGCCTCCCCTGTTGTGCAAACTGGAAAGAAGCTTCCGCAACCAAAGTACATGGAGTTTTTGTACAACTGTTCAAATACTTCCTGGACGATGGTTCTGTAAAGAACATGGTAGTTCTTTTAAGGCTCGCGACTTTTACACTCTTATTTTGTCGGTTTGCGCTCATCGCTCTGTTTGTGTGTCATCTTACTTACTCCATTATCAGCATACAAAATAAAAAAAATGAGTGCGGAAATGATCAACCTTCTTTTAACATTGCTTTTATTAGATTTATCAAGTGTGCAAAGTATTCTGCATTTTGTTATTAAATGTGAAAGTACCACATAGATATGAATGGTAAAATATTGCTATGGTTTTGTCAATTTATTCATACAACTGTTCAAGTACCATCATGGTTTTGGTTTTACATGGAGAGAGACTATGCCCATAAGAAAATGTATGTTGTTTAGTAATGTTAGGGAGATTAAGGGGTGTATTCAATTCTAACTTTTATAGACTTTTAATTAATTTAAAAGTCTAGAGGTATTCAACTATGACTTTTAAATAGTATTTAAAAGTCTAGTGGTATTCGATTGTGATTTTAAAAAGTCTTTAAAAGTTTTGTGCCATCCGAAAAATTAATGACTTTTGAAAACTTTGTTAAATGGATGACTTTTCAATACTTTTAAGCCTAATTCTTAACACCAAAAGTCTTGCTAATTTACCCAAGACTTTATCAATGAATTCGATCATGCTACAACTTTGGCCATTGCGAGGGTGTGCCACCGTGTTTGGATCTCTAGACCCCCTCCCTCTTTGGTCGGTGTACTATCAAGAGATGGCCTAGATGGATCAAAGTCTTGCATCCCTCCTGGTTGTCAAAGTCTTACATCCCTTCTAGATGGATCAGTTTGAGAGTTGAAATCAACCACATATATGATTTATGACGAGAAATTTTTTAGTGTTATGGTGAACAACCATATGATTGAGTATCCATATGGTCTTAACTGTAGGCTAATTAATTTGATATAACAGATAAGGGCATGTTTGGGAGTGCTTCTTGAAGAACCAAAAGCGCTTTCTAATAACTAAAAACGCTTCTGATAGTGTTTGGCAGAAAAGTTTAGAAACGCTTTTGGGTCATAGAAGCGCTTCCTGGAGAAGGACATACTATGTGCTTCTTTAGGAAACACTCCCAAGTGCTTTTCCACGAAGCACTTTAATTTTTTATAAAAATTCAATTTTTTTATAATAAAAGCACTTTTGTTAGAAGCGCTTATGAGCAGAAGTACTTCATAGAGAAGCAGTCCCAAACAAGCCCAAAGTCTCACTTAAAGGCCATATATAAAGCCCTCACTATAGAATTCTTGATGTATGAGTATCCACAAAATTTGGTTGCCCAGAAGATATTTCTCGAGTTTAGTATCTTTGGCCTACATTTAACTTATAGAAGAATTACCTACAAGCCCAATTTGGCATTCAAGTAAAACAAGCCAATTTTGCCTAACGCATTTGTCGTGTGAATTGTGCTTCAAATAATATCTATTGTATTCAGCCCAGCCTTTACCAACCCAAGTTTGCCTAACGCATCTAAGGTCAGAATTTCAGCCCAAAATTAGCATGGCTGCAGCCCAAAGTCATTCAATAGTGGTTTTAATTAGGTTAGTTCAAAAACATCTCGTTGCTCCAAGGTTCATAGAAGGCCCGCAGACATTAGAAGGTGGTTGTTCTTGTTGGAACAAAAATTTAACCGAAATTTATATTTGAACATTATTCAATTACTATTGTCGAAATACGCCAACGAGGTCTAGCCTAGTGAAAAATGGTCTTAACTTGTGGACCAGTGGTCTCATATTTAAATTTCCATGGCACCTTGGTAGTGTGTGTGTGAGAGAAACCCACATCTCTTTTGTGGTTTAGACTAACGCTTGTATTAAAGTAAAAATAAAATAAAAAAAATTCTCTTGCAATACATAAAAACAAGAGCAAAATGGCACTGTGATCGTGGAGTCTAACTTGGTGATGGTCGGACCAGGTCGTCGAACTGGACACGACCAACTCTAGTGGCCTGATCAATCAAGTGGATGTTGGGTTAGTTACAAGGGTCATTGACTAAGGTTCTACAATCATTGTGTTATGCCCGGGGGCGGGGGGTCAAGTGTTGAGGTTCAACTAGGAGTGGCAATGAGTTTTGTGGTGTCGGGTATTAACAGGTTAAAAATCTTCAACACGAATATGACTCGTTTATTAAACATTTCAGGAACATCCCACCCGAACATAACCTGTTTATTACACGGGTAACACGACAAGACCCATGTACCCGTTCACTAAATGTGTTGGATTGAATTTTTATTTAGATTAACCTGTTAATCGTTTAATTTGTTTGACACGATTAACTTGTTTGACTCGTTTAACTTATTCAACCTGTTTAACATATTAGAAAACATTCAATCTATTAATTTTGGTAATTATAATATAACTCATATATGCTAAGAAAGTTATGATAATATTGAAAATATTATTTAAAAAACAAATTTAATGTTAACTCGTTTTTTGGCCAAAGGTTAATATTAACTCTTTAAACTAACAAAATCAAATAGGTTTTTGTTTTAGAGAATTAAATAGTTATATATGATGGCTTCTGAATGGGTTCATTTATTAATTGTCTCTTAGTGGATTAACTCGAATTTGACATGAACTTTTAATTATCGTATGGGTTGACCTACATAAATTTCATGCATGTTTCTAGTCGTTTATTGGGTTGTGTGGGAATTTCTCGTTCACTGGTTTGGTTTCGAGGGTCACTTGGTTGGGTTCGGTGTCACTGAGTGTAGTCTGATGGCCACCGTGTCACTACTAGAATATCTGATTTTGAGAACAATTATTATTTGTGCTCTTTAACTCAAAAGGCACAATTATTTTCCAGAGTTTCGAGAAACCAAAAAGGAAAGAAGGAAACGCGCTTGGTTTTTTCTAGGGTTTCACGATCTTCTGGCTCTTTGTTGTGCTGTGACTGCTCCACCGCCCATGGTGGCAGATGAGATATCTGAGTTTGTGTTCGCTGCGGATGGTGGCTCGAAGGAGGGCCTGGTTGTTGGAGATAAGCGTGCTCGTACCCGGGAGATGCTGGATGTTGGTGGATTGGATTCTGAGGTGTTTCCTCCTTCTTTGCCCCCAATTTCAATGAGCTTCAAAGATAAAGTCTGTGGTGATTTTGGGATGGCTGAGGATAAGTTTGATATCAGTGATGATGATGTTGTAATCAAGCATGGGGCTATTCCATCCATTGTATTTTTTGAAAGGGTTAAGGATTGCTTGTACAGGCCTTGGAGGACTGCTGTGATTATCAAGCTAATGGGTCGCCCTCTTTCGTATACTTTCTTGCGTGACCGTTTGCTTCAACGCTGGGGGTTGAAGGGTCCAATGAGTTTAATTGATCTAGAAAACAATTATTTCATTGTCAAATTTCTTCTTGAGGAAGATAAGAGGTATGTGCTCACTGGAGGTCCCTGGCAAATTGCTGGGCAATATATTGTGACTCAGAATTGGAAACCTGGGTTTAATGCTAAAGAAGAGAGGGTTACTCACATGACAGCTTGGATTCGAATCAATGGGTTGAATGTGGAGTATTTTCGTACTGATGTTATGATGAAAATTGGAAATCTCATTGGTACTACCGTTAAGGTGGATGCGCATACTATGGGTCAAGCTCGAGGTAAGTTTGCTAGGCTGTGTGTTGAACTTGATTTATCTAAGCCTCTTATCCCTTTTATTGAAGTTGAGGGACGTACTTTTGGGGTTGTTTATGAGGGGATTCAGCTAGTCTGCTTTGAATGTGGTTGTTTTGGGCATGGTAGAGATTCATGCCCTGTTATTGTGGAGGCTAAGCAAAAGCAGTTTGCTGAGGATGATGCTTCTGAGAATATGGAGGGTACTTCTCCCGCTCCAAATGAGGATGTTGTTGTTGTTGACCCTGCTAAGTTGGCTACTGAGATTCCAGCTAAGATGCATGGTCAATGGATGTTAATGAAACCAAAAAATTTCAGAAAGAAGGTTCAACATGAACAAGGGCAATTGTTCTCTTCTACCAAGAAGTCTGATAAGGCTAGTGGTGTGAAGATTGCCACTAGCCAGTCTGTCTCCAGATTTAATATTTTGAGGGATGATGATGGTAGGGACGATGAGGATGCGGGTTGCACCCCTAATCCCTTTGGTTCCAAGAAGGCTACTAAGTCGGTTGCTTAAGCTCCTGAGCGTGCCTCCCCCATGTCTAAGTCTTCTAGGAAACAAGTTGGCACAGTGCGTAATGCTTCTACTTGGGTTTTTAAGAAGCCTATGAGAGATATCACCAACTCAGCAGATTCTGGAATTGTTGTTAAGCCTGACTTTGGTGCTCGAAGGGGTGGGAAGAATAGGGTCGGGAGTGCTTTTAATAGCTCTACAGGGCTGAATGCTGTGGGAATGCAAGTTCGTGGGGCTTCTGTGCAGGATGATGTTCTTGGGAAGTTTTCTTTCAATATGGAGGGGCCTTTCTTTTCCGAGTCTTCTCTAGGGAAAGGTGGGCTGCTTCATGGTCATGAACCCCCTGACATTGGTCAAAAGGTGCTCAATGAAGCTTTCTGTTTTGGTGTAAGTTTAATTTCTGAAAATATGAACCACCATGGTGACTTTGTTGATCAAGGTGATACAGAGTTTGGTAGTGATACAGCTATGGTCGTTGAACAAGCTGCCCCCACTAGTGGTGAGGTTGAGCAACTGCAGAATTAGGTTTATCCGAAGTTCTTCCCTATCCTACTTTTTTATAATGATTATTGTCTCATGGAATGTTAGGGGTGCTGGCAAGGAAAGTTGTGCTCGTACTATTAAAGATTTAAGAAAAGCTTATGCTATTGATATTTTAGCTATTCTTGAGCCTAGAATTGGCGTGGTTCTAAAGCTTTGCAAATTTATAAGAGTTTGGGTTTTTCTAATTATCATAT